ATTATAATTTATGATTGTTGTAATTGAAATGGATCATATGGGGAAAATAAATGAAATTGATCAAATACATTTTACAATTTTATATTTCAGCATTTTGCTACAAACAATACTAATATATAAATGTTATTTTTATAAAAATTTTATTCATCAAATCTTTGGCATTGCTTAATTTCGATAATTGCTACCTTCACTGTCAATGTTAATATTTGTTAATGTATTTGAGAAATGCATCTAGCCTAAAATGTGTGCATCTAGCCTGAAATACATCTAGCCTAAAATCTGTGCATCTGGCCTGAAATACATCTAGCCTAAAATGTGTGCATCTAGCCTGAAATACATCTAACCTAAAATGTGTGCATCTAGCCTGAAATACATCTAGCCTAAAATGTGTGCATCTAGCCTGAAATACATCTAGCCTGAAAAATGTGATTTCCATTTCTCTCCATCATTCCATAAATGTATTTCAGTAAAATTATCTTTTATATGATTCACTGATATGAAATATCTTTTTTTTTCCTAATATAGATACTAAGAATGACGAAATAAGTTAACATAAATTTTAGAAAACCAAAACAGCTTATTATGATAACGATTTTTTTCTTTTGTTTTATTACATGAAATCATTTTATTATCTTCATAATATTTAAAAATAATCTTACCTGGAATGTCTTCCATTTTTTTTTATTAAATTGAAAAATTAAAATTCCATTCAATATACATATATATACGTTCACTTGAGATTGTTTAATTAAGACTACAGATATTTACATGAAATATCGATGATATTCTCGTGATTATTCTTGTAGTAATACAAAAATTTCTTCGTTCAAATTACCTATTCGTTATCTTCAAAATGTTGTCAATTTTATTTTCACATGAAATTTTGCACGGCATAAATTAATCAAGACTGGTTTAATGCTTTCTTTGATTTTGGAAGAGGATGAAATTATGTGATGAATAATTTTTCAATAGATTCATCTAAACTGGAAACTTTTTGACATTATTCCATTACCTAAATTAACAACATTGTGGATGATATTTGGGATTGTTTGTTGTAAAATTATATTTACTTAATTTTATTATTAGATATTTGGAAATTTCACTATATGTTAAATTAATTAATGGATTTGAAATTAATTTATTTGTTCCAGTAATTCTTTACCATAATTGAGATCGAAATTATTGAAGAAGGATAAGATGAGATGATAATAATAATAAGATAATAAACTATTGCAATTTCGAGAGAGAATTACGATGTGATTATGGCTAATGAATTTTATAAATCATTGATTGAAATGATATTGGTAAATCTCGGTAGGATAGTTTATTTTTTTGTCTCGATAATCATTCATTCGCAATTTTCATTGTTTATTTTGCTTTTAATCGATATCAATAGATGTTGTGAGGAATATATTGCAAATCGTCGATATGTATTTACAATATTAGCTTTTTTAAATTATTTTTTCGTCAATACATTTTGTTGTTTCAATCGATAATGATTGCAATTTCGAGATTTTATATTCTGTAATAAATGAACTTCAAATTTTTATTAGGAAAAAAGGATCGTTTTAGATTATATTTTATATCCAATATTGCTGCTCACTTTTCATTAGATCATTCATTTTGATTACAATAATTCGGATCTTTTAATACGGGAAATAAGTTTTTGAAATCGAAATTACGGATGAATGTATGTGGGAGATAGGTAAATCGAAATTACGGATGAATGTATGTGGGAGATAGGTAAATCGAAATTACGGATGAATGTATGTGAGAGATAGGTAAATCGTAATTACGGATGAATGTATGTGAGAGATAGGTAAATCGTAATTACGGATGAATGTATGTGAGAGATAGGTAAATCGAAATTACGGATGAATGTATGTGGGAGATAGGTAAATCGAAATTACGGATGAATGTATGTGAGAGATAGGTAAATCGTAATTACGGATGAATGTATGTGAGAGATAGGTAAATCGTAATTACGGATGAATGTATGTGAGAGATAGATAGATCGGAATTACGGATGAATGTATGTGAGAGATAAATAAATCGAAATTACGGATGAATGTATGTGAGAGATAAATAAATCGAAATTACGGATGAATGTATGTGAGAGATAAATAAATCGAAATTACGGATGAATGTATGTGAGAGATCGGTACAAAGAGTAGTGTAGCATGAAAAGTATTATTATTGGATATGTCTTATGAATTTATTTCGGATAAGATTGGAAAAGCATGATCCTGTTTTACTATTTGAGTGTAAAAGATGATGTTGTAATCAAAAAAATGATCCGATCAACCTGATAATTCCGCTATAACCAATTAAGTCATACCTTTGATGTCACGTGTGAACTTCTGAGTCATATCTTTTAGGATACAGTTAAATTTTACATTGATGTCACATGTGGACTTCTGAGGTGCGAATCAGTTGTCGAATGCTACAGAAACGGACGGATCTGAGAGATATCTGATGAACAATTTAAGAAAACGTGAAGGTAAGTGTTTTGCAAATGTCATGTTCACTTTATTAATAATCCGGTTACACTTTTATCTTAATACATATTTATTAGTTTCTCATTTCATAATTTTTGGTTATATTCTGGTTAGTTTCTCGTGGAATTTTCCGGAGTATATCTTTTGTTTTCCTCTCCTTCTATTCCTTTCTGATATACCGCGTTGTATTTTCGTCGAAACTTGTTCTTTTTTTCTATACATCTATATTTTAATCATTGATTAGCTTTATTTTAGTTTTCATTTCTTACTTTTCATTTACATTTTTCAATTTTTCACATTTATACAAATTCATTAATTCAATTCGATTAATTTATTCTATAATTAATGAAATGTTTAAATTTCATTTTGTACATTTTTGCTACATTATGGATATTTGCAAGTAAATGAGATTGTTACCAGTATAATAAAATCATCACCAAATTGATATCATTTTATCAAGAAGGGTCAAACGTTGACTTCTTAATATTCCCTTATATTTTATATTTACTTAAATGCAGTTAGCAATTTCTTTGGTTATCTAGCTGTATGAGTATTGCATAGTTGATCATAAAGCTAGACGACCGGAGTAATAGCTTCTGCAATTATCGCCAGCTGTCATCGCTCCTATTCTTGCTGAACAAACAGAAAAAAAATGTCATAAATGAGTGAAATATGATGTTATATGTATGTAGAAGAGATTATTGAATGATAATGATAGGATGAGGTGAAGTTCAAAATATGATAAAATTAAAATTTCATTTAAACAATAGAATTAATGAGAAAAATTAGATGAGTGAATTTAAAACAATAGTTGATCGATCGCATTGAATTATTATATTGCAATAATATTTTTACTTTATAAAATTTATGATTTCTTAATAGTTAACTGTTGTGGTGCTTCTTTTTCCAACATTTTCGAATTGCAACAACATTTCTGGGAATTTCGTAAATAGTTAAAATATGCTATCAACTTATCTATGTAACTTTGAAATTCGCATTTTCTAAGTTCTCAATGATATATATATATTTGTGCATTTGATCATTCTGTTGTTTACAAATTTCAATTTACAAAATATCTACATACCGAAATACCTCCTACTACATCCTTAAGAATTTTAAATAAATGTATTCTAATCTATTCATGCAGGTGTCTAATATTCGATGCATATAATTTTGCAGTTGAAATATTTTCCTCAAATGATATTTTCATATATTAGCACAATTTAGCTTCTGAATAAATTTGCATAAACACACCAATTTTTTCCTTTTTACCGATTGGGAAATTTAGATGGATTTGCAAATAAATGTCTAACAGGTAATTTACTGGTAATAATATTTATATAGAGCTAAGCAAAATTGCCATGTTCACATTTTATCATAATTTTATGGAAATGTGGAATATCTGTAAAACTTATGGATACATAGTTAATATGACACTATCATATGCTATCAAGAAATGCATGAAGCAAGTAATTTCACAGTGGCATCAATCATCTATATAAATTGTACGTTCACAGATGTATGTTTGTAAGTTGGCAAAAAAATTACGAATATTGCTTATACATATGTGGCGTATAGGTTACGCTTACCGCGTGATACGCATATATCATGCTTCAAATAACATGAATACCTTTTCACGTATTCAAGCGAACGATTATCAAGGTAGCTTGCTAACATCATCTCAGCCATTAATCTACCAACTTCAAAGCATAGATGAATATAAAGCTAAGCAGTACTCATACAAAGTAAAACTATCATAGCATATATGGGATCAGTTCCCATCAAAATTAATTCCGGAAAGTGTATTTTCCATGTTCACTTCCTATATTCGTATGTTCGTTCAATCAAAAGATAATGACTAAATTATGTTGTTATATATTATCATGCCATTTTAACAACATTTTATGCGTTGGCAAAATATCGCAATAAAATCTGAAAGATTAATTTATTTAAAGAATTAAGCACGTGGGAATGAAAAAAAAGAACTATATAAAGACGATGGTACCTGGCACATATACTCACATCCTCAATCACAATAAATAAGTTCGTCAAAGGCACAAACGATCAGTGTCACATTAGTAGAATAAAGAAAGTTGAAGTTAACCACCTATTTTTGAAATGTAAAATGAATTGTACAACATTTCAAAATTGGACAATCAAATGATGATCGATCTCACTCCATAACAAACCATTATATTTCTTATATATGCAACATTCAAAGAAGCACAAACATTTAAGAATAACGAAAAGTGTAACATATGCATTTATGTATCGGAATTCTAAACTATATGCAATTTCTGAACATATAACAAAAATGATGTATTCATCCTTCTGAACACATTAATGATTTATATTGTGATAATTGGAATAATCAGCACAATACATATACAAGCATGGTCAACACGTGTAATCTTGAGAGCAGATTCAGAATGTGTGACACGCTCAACAAGTAAGCGTTTGCATGATTCTACTCAACCATTAGACAATCTTTACGTTTTACATCTACCCGAAGCGCAAGACATAAAATGATCTCTGTATGAGTAAAATCATCAAACGTTCAATGAACATATCCATGTATCCACTATTGACTCCCGAATCCCGACACGAAGTACATAGTGGCCAAATAATTTGTTCAATGAACATATCCATGTAACTACTATTGACTCCCGAATCCCAACACGAAGTAAATAGTGGCCAAATAATTTGTTCAATGAACATATCCATGTATCCACTATTGACTCCCGAATCCCGACACGAAGTACATAGTGGCCAAATAATTTGTTCAATGAACATATCCATGTAACTACTATTGACTCCCGAATCCCAACACGAAGTAAATAGTGGCCAAATAATTTGTTCAATGAACATATCCATGTATCCACTATTGACTCCCGAATCCCGACACGAAGTACATAGTGGCCAAATAATTTGTTCAATGAACATATCCATGTAACTACTATTGACTCCCGAATCCCAACACGAAGTAAATAGTGGCAGTAGCGGTTCTCTCATGTGAACGAGATTACTGACTTTACTTATAATAATGATAAGTGAAAAAGAAGCAAACATTGATAAGCTTTAATCAGTTACAATCAGAAACAATGCGTAATACCAATTTTCTTTACTTTATTCTTTACTGATATCTCAGTAACTGTTATTGTTACCGATAACCAACCATCTAATCACCAGAAGTTATTTGCATTTTCATACGCTCTTCTTTTCTTTTCAAGATCTAATAATAGCAAAGATTCAGTTTATAACAACGAGTTTATTGAGAAAACGAAATGTAACTAAAGAAAGGAATTACGGATTGACTTCTTTGTGTCGAATATGCTATCATCAGCTGTAAATAATGGAAGATTGCCTTCTTTCCAAATTGTGTCCATTTTTCGCAATTTTTCAGATTTAAAATCTTTAAGAAAACAAAAAAATAAAAGCTGAAATATACAGATATGATAGATATCGGTCGACTTTACAACGATTCTTACATTTCTTCCAAACTATAAAATATCCCTTTATTCTCTATTAGTGAATATATTTGGATAACTAAAAATTATGACAACTTATATATATATATTCTTATATTAACTTATAAAACAAACAAATACAACATACAAAAAAAACAACAACAAACAAACAAAAACAAAATAAACAACAACAACAGCAACAAACAAATACAAAACAAATACAAAAACAAAACAAACAATAATATAAACAACCACATCACAAATGATGTGGTTGCTTATATTATTTTATATTATATTCTTATATTAACTTACAAATACAACACACAAAAAAAACAACAACAAACAAACAAAAACAAAACAAACAAACAACAACAGCAACAAACAATACAAAACAAAACAAACAATATTATAAACAACCACATCAAAAATAATGTGGTTGCTTATATTATTTTATATTATATTCTTATATTAACTTTTAAGCACAGTCCTGTGAAATGAAACAGATGCAACCGATTATTGTTTGTATTGGGAAATTGGAAGTATCGATGCACGAAAATATGGAAATCATCTTATTATAGAAGAGTTACAACTGAAATAATGAATTACACGAAATTACCGGAAATGAATTCTCAATTCTACAAATATGTGTAGAGAAATTTCAAGAAGCATTAAAAATGCATTGAAATTAGATTGAAGAAATCATTCAGGTAATTTAAATCAATAGATAATTATTATTACGAATATCGGGTGAATTGGTGATTATATCTCCGAT